CGGGAGAAGGAGGGGATGGGAATGCAGATGATGGGAAGAGAGAGAGAGAGAGAGAGAGAGAGAGAGAGAGAGAGAGAGAAAGAGAGAGAGAAAAAGATGATATCCAGCCGCCTGCGGCACAACCCGCCACAGTGCCTGTGCAATAGCGCAGCAGGAAGGAGGCTGAGTGTAGGAGCAGCGCAATTCCGACGAGTGGTTTGGACTGAGGCGGGTCGTGAACTCAACCTCGCCTTCGGCTGCGCGGTTGGAGGGAGGTCGAGCCCACGCCCCGCTGCAGTTCAGCGATCCGTCCGTTTTTGGACGGTTCGTGAACTAGGCCTCGTCTTCGTCCGCGCGGTAGGAAGCAGGTCGTTTTCGCGCCCCGCTGAATTTCAGCGAGTGGTCTGAACTGGAACGGGTCGTGATGTCGACCTCGTCTTCGTCCGCGTGGTATGAAGGAGGCCGAGGTCACGCCCCGCTGGTGTTCAGTGGTTTGTCTGAACTGATGAGGGTCGCTATCTCGACCTCGACCTGGTCCGCGCGGTAGGGGGGGAGGTCGACTTCACGCTCCGCGGCAGTCCAGCGAGTGGTTTGAACTGAGGTGGGTCGTAATCTCGACCTCACGTTCGCCCGCGCGGTAAATGGAGGAGGAGGAGGAGGAGGAGGAGGAGGAGGAGGAGGAGGAGGAGAAGGGCGAGGAGGAGGAGGAGGAGGAGGATTAGGAGGAGGAGGAGGAGGTCCTCTTCGCGCTGTCTTGCTTCGTAACTTCGGCGACGAGGCGGTCAGGATGTCCCCACTCAAGGATCTTGTTCACATTGAAGTTCTTTGGGACCTCAAGGCTTTCTACGATTCTTTGGACTGGATTGCTCTAACCAATACGGCAGAGGACAAAAGTTTTCCTCCGCATACGCTGGCTCTCACTATGCAGCAGTGCTTCGCACCCAGGATACGTAAAGAATCTGGACATTTCTCGCAGCCTATCTTACCCCAACGGGCCATGGTCGCTGGGCTGCGCTCCGCGGTGGATCTCTCACGTTGTATTATGTATCGTACGTTGGAACGCATGTGTGAAGCGCATCGCTCGGTCACAGTGAGATCTTGGGTGGACGACGTCAACACACGCATTGTTGGCCCCAAGAAGTTTGCCGTTGCTCAGTTAACGAAGGTTGCCACCATCCTCCGTGATGACTGCAAGGAGTTAGACCTAGTTATTTCTCCCAAGTCTACTATTCTCAGCTCTTCGCCACTGGCAGGCATGGCTTTGGAGTCAAATTTGAAGCAGCTGGGGCTTACTGCACCTTTTAATGACCGGGGGATGGACCTCGGTTTTGATCGAGGCAACATCCGCATGGGGCAGACCAAGCACAAGAAGCGAGTCGAGAAAGCGAAGTTCAGGTTTCATCGAATAGCTTGTATTGGAAGGAGTACCCTCGCCCACCGCCGCATTGGGCTTCGTCTTGCCACCACTGCCGCTCTCCCCTGCGTCTCATATGCAGGCAAGCTCTACGGTACTCCACCTTCGGTCCTCACAAGCTGGCGCAGAGCTCTTGGTCGCATTCTTCGCAAAGGTAGCACTCAGCGCTCGCTCACCACGCAGCTCCAGCTGGACATGGGCCCCACCGACCCCGCGATCTCCACAGCCATGGACGTCATCAACTCTTGGGCGCTCTTCCTGGCCACCTCAAACGTCGAACGGAAGCTCATTGAGTTGACATGGGCTCGCATCGTGAAAGATTTTTCAGCCCGATCGCAGCACACCTGGCCTCACCATGTCTGGGGCATCTGTTCAGCTACTGTCTGTCTTCTGTTGCGTTATTCCTGGGAGCCCCGAGGCCTTTGGAGATGGGCGAGCCCAGATGGCATTGAGTTTTTCGCCCCGCCTGAGAAGCACACGGTTCGGGACCTTGATTTCTCGGATTTGAAACACGTTTTCTCTTTGTCGATCCAGCGGTCACTTTGGACTGCGGCTGCTGAGGAGTATCTTGGGCGGGGTCTCGACCAGGGGATCCCTGACCTGGGACCCTTGAGGAAGTTCTTGAGGAGCCTCAAGCGGAAGGGGGAGTTCGCTCTCTTTGGGATCCACCAGGCCATCGCCACAGGAAACTTGTGGCCTGCGCAGCGTGTGCATGAGTGTTTTCCTGAGGCGGATCCTATTTGTCCCAGATGCAAAGAGGTTCCCGAGACTCCACGGCACGCCCACTGGGAATGCCCCCGTAATGCTTCTTTAGAGGGCGTGGCCCCGAGAGCGGCCATTGACCGCGCGATTCACGACTGTGATGAATTACCCTGTTTCTGGCACCGCGGCATCGCGCCAGGCTCCTGGGTTGAAGTGGATCCCCCCAATGATGATCCTCCCCTCCTCGACCTCTCTCTCTCGACCTCTGAGGCGGAGTTTCGGAGTGGGGTGGTGTTCGGAGCTGGCGATGCCAGCGGGGGGGTCCACTCAGCCGATCCGCGTTTGCGCCGCATCGGGTGGTCAACCCTTATTTTCCCTGACGGCGCCCACCTTGCACGTGAACCGATCACGGAGTCACAGTCTTGGGGGGGCCCGCTGGAACCCAAACAGTCTGTCAACAGGGGAGAGCTCAGGGCTTTCACCACCTTCCTTCAAGCTACTCAGTCCCTCTCAGCTCGTGTACAGAGGCATTTCGTGACGGACAGTGCTTACGTGATTCGAGGTGTTTTCCGCCATCGCTCGAGGGGAGTTTCCCACGAGCAACGTTTCTGATTGGCTGCATTTCCACGAGGTGTACAGAAATTCCTCGGGGCTCGACGTGCGGCTATTCAAGGTTGAATCGCACCTGTCGCAGGCCGAAGCCCCGGAGCAAGGTTTTCCTCTGGCCCATTTTTGTTGCCAGCCAGCGCGCGGATGGGCGGGCCGAGAGTTTTGCCGAGGAGGCCCAGCTTCCGTATGCGCAGGTGGCCAGGATCCAGTTAGTTGATAAGGTCGCGGCGGCTGTCAGGAAACATTTGGCGACTGTTCTCCTCGATTGTGCCTCCCTCCGCTCTCCTCCCCCGCCGCGGCCTAAGGTTGAACGTCCTAAGCTCTCCACACCCGAGCGGGGCGCTCTAAAGCTAAGTCGAGCCCTCAGTCGCACCGAGCACTATATTCCGAATCCTCATAGGTCGTTTTGGCAATGCTCAGTGTGTGATGGACGTACGGCGCGTAAGTTTGCGTTAGACTTTCTCAACACCCAGTGCCAAAGAGCGTCGAGAGTCCTTGTGCCCACGGTGTTCTGTGGGCGGGAGATTCACCCGCCCCACAAACTTCAGAGTGGAGTTCAAGGGGTTGTGTTTTGTTCTTCTTGTGGCCTATATGGGAGGTTTCGGGTCCGCTCTGATGGACTTGGGAAACCGTGCAGGCCCATTTCGAGGAGGGGTCGCAAAAACTTGGCGGCTCTCCTCCTCGGTATGCTCCCTCAGCAACGGGCACAGAGTGCTCGTGCCGTTTTCGCCACCAAGAGGTCTTTCTAACCCTCCTGTGTGGCGGATTTGGGAGCTCGAGGGCCTCTCCGTTTGAGAGGCCCTTTCAGCCGCCCTTGGATTGGGTGGCTCCTTACCGCGCCTGGCGCTCCCGCCTCTGCGCTTTCGCGCTTCTCCAGGGGAAAAAAAAACCTCCTGGGGCAGCTTTGGGGCCTCTTGGCGGTCTTCGAGGACCTCTTGGCCTGTCTCACGCCTTCTTGGGGGCCTCCCTAAGCCGTTTTGGTGCCCTCCTGAAGCGTCTGAGAGCTCGGGATCCTCTTGGGAGGCCCTGGGGCGATCTTGTTGTCCACTTGGTCGGATTCGGGGCCCTCTTGGGGGCCCCATGGATTGTCGTAGAGCTATATTAGAGGCCTCTTGAGCCGTCTTGGGCGGTAAAAACCCAAACAGGCGAGAACCACAAAGTCCGTCAAAACCCTAGAGAACATCAATTGATGTTGCTTCCTCGGGCTCTATTGGAGGGCCGCTTGTAGACCTCTTGGGAGCCTCTTGAGCGTCTTCAGAGCCTCTTGGGCCGTCTTGGGCCACCTGGAGCCGTTTGGGTGTCGTCTTGGCGTCTGAGAAGCCGTCCTGGAGGCAACACTGGCTGTCCGGAGGCAGATCGGACAGCCGGAGAGCCAGTCCGGGGGGATCGATCTCAGGACCACGCGCGCGTCGAGTGGTGGGCTCGGCCCCAGAAAACTGAACCATCTCCCGGGCAGCAGCAGCCGTTGTGACACGCCCGCTGGGCACAAGGCCCGGTGGCGGACTCGAGGGACGACCGACGGAGAGAGGAGGATGATTGATGGTAAAAAAGGGAGGAGCGTCGAGGCCCAATACAGAGGGACGACGGAAGATAGGAGGGACGAAGGGGTGCAAAGGAGGACGGAGAGAGAGAGAGAGAGAGAGAAACAAAAAAAAACAAAGACAGAGCGAGAGAGAGAGAGAGAGATATTCCAGGACGAGGAAGGAAGCGATGGGATGGGAGGAGGAGGAGGAGGAGGAGGAGGAGGAGGAGGAGGAGGAGGAGGAGGAGGAGGAGGAGGAGGAGGAGGAGGAAAGGGTTCAATTGACAAGGGCAGGAGGAAGGATGATAGAGGGGGGCGCAGCCGACCAGGATGTTGTAAGCGTCGCCGCCCGCTACCTCCCCCATTCCTCCCTCCCCCATCCCACCCTCTCCGCATCCTTCCCCACCTCCCCATCCCCCCCCCCTCCTTCGCGGTGGCTCGCATGTCATCCTGGTTGACCGCACGGCGATGGGAATGGATCTTCTCCCCCTGCTCCCCCAGCTCCTCCGTCTTCCTCCTCATCCCTCCTCCTCCCCCTCCTTCTCCTCCTCTCCTCCCCCTCCTTCTCCTCCTCCTCCCTCCTCCTCCTCCTCCTCCTCCTCCTCTCCCCTCCTCCTCCTCCTCCTCCTCCTCCTCCTCCCCCCCCTCCTCCCTCTCCTCCCACCCCCTCCTTCCTCTATCGTCTCTATCGTCTCTCTTTCTCTCTCTCTCTCTCTCTCTTCCTAGCAGCAGCAGAAGCAGCAGCAGCAGCAGCAGGACGTGGAGGCTCCGCAGCTGCTGGCACGAGCCGAGAGGGGGCGCGCGGGGCGCGGGCGACGCCGCCGCGCGCGCGCCCACGCTGCCGCGGCCCAACCCTCGGGCGGCGTGGGGGGAGGCCGGCGTCGGAAGGGGGCCAAGTCGAGACCCTGAGCGGAGGAGGAGGAAGAGAACAGGAGGAGGAGGAGGAGGAGGAGGAGGAGGAAGAGGAGGAGGAGGAGGAGGCGGAGGAGGATGGGAAGGAGGGGAAGAGAGAGGGAAAGAAGGGGAGGAGGGGCGGGGAAGGAGGGGAAGCAGAGGAGACGCGACGTCGGATCTCAGGGCTGGACCTCCGAAGAGGGCCGAGCCTGGACACACGGCAACCCCCCTCGGCGCTGCTCGCCCTGACGGAAATGGGTCCTGACGGACACGGGCCCTGAAGTCTTCCGCGTTTTTTTCCCCCGGCATTCCCTAGGGCCGACGGGTCACCAGGGCCCAGGGCCCGTTTCCCTCGGGGCCCGTCTGCTTTGTGCCGGGGCTGCACCTAAGCGCAAGCAGTGGCGAAGCGTCCCGGCTCGCCTATAGCCCCACGAAAGCCATGTTCTAAGAACCGCTTGTGGTTCCCACGGAATGTTCTTAGAACATGTCTGGCTGGGACTCTCTTCTTTTACACATCGGGTTTGTGTTCTAAGAGCACTGCTTTTGTTCTTAGAACAGTTTTGGGTTCTAAGAGCATTTCGCGGTTGTGTGCTCCCGGCATTCCCCGGGGCCGACGGGCGACGGCTCGGGGCGCAGAGCGACCTCCGGGGGGGCAGGCCCCAGGGCCCAGGGCCCGTTTCCCTCGGGGCCCGTCAGCTTTGTGCCGGGGCCCAGGGCCCCAAAAAGGTCAGAAAAGTATTAAAAAAATAGTCCCCAGGCTATTTTTTTATGATTTTTGGGGTATTTTTTATTTTTCGTCGAAAACCCCCCTGTAGGGGGACAGGCCCGACTTAACCCTACCCCCTACGACTTCTGAGGGGGAGGGTGGGGTTCACTTCGCTCGGGAGCTCCCGGACGAAGTGAACCCCACCCTCCCCTCAGAAATCGTGGGGGGTAGGGGTAGGGTTCGCATGCATCCCCCTACGTTTCCTTCGGGGCCCGTCTGCTTCGTGCCGGGGCTGGACCTAAACGTTGTTTCGCTGGTTTTCGGCTGTGTTCTGTGTTTCGCTCTGGCAGGGAAGCACAGGAAACCAGGTCGAGCACAACGAGCATCAAAACGACGAGAGCCCGAAAAGCAGCGTCTGGGTCCAGTCCTGCGCTCTGCCAGAGAGGGCCGGGCTAAGTCGAGACAGTGGCCGCCCTTCCTGGGGCGTCTCCTCCTCCCCGCAGCCTGGCTCCCGCACGCGCGCAGGTGCGGGGCGGTGGGGGTGGGAGAGGAGAGGAGGGGAGGAGAAGGAGGGGATGGGATGGGGAGGAGGAGTAGGAGGAGGAGGCGGAGGAGGAGGAGGAGGCGGAGGAGGAGGAGGAGGAGGGGAAGGAGGGGAAGAGAGAGGGGAAGAGAGAGGGAAAGAAGGACAGGAGGGGCGGGGAAGGAGGGGAAGGAGAGGATGGAGATGGGGGAGGGGATGGGAACTTGGACCTCGGAGGGGGGCCAAGGCGAGACAGCGGCGGCCCTTCCCGGCGCTTTCCGGTCCTCTATGGGGGGCCTCCTGCAGTCTTCTCGTTGCCGCGGCTGGGACCGCCTCGTCAGACGTGGCTGGATAGACCCCGGGGGTGGCTCCTCCTCCTCCCCCTCCTCCCTCCTCCCCCTCCTTCCCCCTCCCCCCTCCACCTCTCCTCCTCCCCCCTCTCACCTCCTCCTTCTCTCCTCCTCCTCCTCCTCCTCCTCCTCCTCCTCCTCCTCCTCCTCCTCCTCCTCCTCCTCCTCCTCCTCCTCCTCGGGTCGACTACGGCCCCGGGGGAAACCGTGTAGGGCGGCCAAGAGGGGGGTGATGACTAGCGGGGGGGATATCATGGCGGGGGCCATGATATATCCCGAGATCTCATGGCGCCTCTTCTTGTTTAACAACGCCCCTGGCTCCCCCGCTGGGCCGCGCACGTGCCGCCGGTCATGATTTGCACCCCCCCCTCTTGGACGCCCCCCTCTTGGCCGCTCCCGATAGCTACTCCCCCAGGGCTCGGGGGAACGCAATATTCGAGGACGCAAGCACTCGGGTCTGCCAACGTTTTTTGGCGAGCGCGCCCTGGATTTTGACGGTCCAGTTTTCGTGGGACGTTGCAGCGGGAGCTCGCGCCACATTCAGACTGGGTCCCGTCATGTTTCTGATGGCCCCGTCAGGCCAACCCGAGCCCCCCGTACCCGAGTCTCACGCCTCCCCAAGGGGTGCGTTCCCAGACCCCCGACGTAATGATATTTTCATTACGTCGACCCCCAGAGGTCCCGACCCTTTCCCCATGACCGGCTTTGCATCCTGAGTCGTTTTTTGACGCTCCCGAGGCCCGGCGAGGGCCGCCGGAGGCCGAAAATTCGGAAAAACCCGTCATGATTTTTTCATTACTCGAGGGGGTCTGGGAGGGGTGCGTTCTGAACTCGCAGGAGAATCCGGCTGTGGCGGCGAGAGGCCTCCAGGACGAGCAGCGGTAACGCGGTGGATCTCTCCCTCCTCTGACGGCAGGGATCCGGTCCCAGAGATCCGACGTCGCGATTTTTTCAGTACGGGGTCCCCAGAAGTCTCGGCCCATTCCCTGGGACAGGTTTCTCATCCTGAGTCGTTTTTTGACGGTCCCGGGGCCCGGCGAGGGCCCCTCGAGGCCGAAAAACACGGAAGAACTCGGTTTTGATGTTTGTTCCATGCGTTGGATCTCTGGGGACGAAAAACCAGCCCCGGGAAAGGGGTCGGGACCTCTGGGGCCGCGGATTGAAAAAATCAGATCGGCGGATGTCTGTGAACGCAACACGCGACGTGCCCATTCAAACCCAGAGATCCGAGGTTTCGATTTTGCAAGCCGGCGGGTTTTCCTGGATTTCGGCCTCCGGGGCCTCGAGATCGGGTCAGTGCAAACGGGGGTCAGCCAGAGCGCCCCGACCTTGCAGGATCCTGCAGGGCCAGGGTCGCATTGACCCGGGTTTGGGTGCAGGATCCTGCAGGATCCTGCAGGATCCTTCGCATTGACCCGGGTTTGGGTGCAGGATTTTGCAGGATCTTGCAGGACTCTGCAAGGCATGACTGACCCGGGTCTGGATTGACCCGGGTCAGCAGGTCCCCGATCGGCCTCCGGGGCCTGATATCGAGCCCGGGACCATCAAAATGGGACCCGGAACGAGAAACCGGCCCCGGGGAAGGGGTCGGGACCCCAGACCTCCGACGTCTCGACTTCTTCGAGACGCGGGCCCCCGACCTCACCGACAACTCCCCCGGGACCGGCTTCTCATCCCGAGCCGTTGTGGACGGCCCCGAGGCCCGGCGAGGGCCCCGAGAGGCCAGAAACTAGGAAAAATTATTCACTGCGTGGAGCTCCCCATATGTGCATCTACTCGCATGGACCTGTCCGCCGTGAATGTCTAGGCGCAAGAGCTTTCGAAAATTAACGGGCTTCAGTTGTGACGGTCTGGACATCAATCTAACTGCGAATGAATTGGAGTGTGAATGAGCCTCAGTAGTACGAGCGCGTCTCTGTGCATGAGCCTGGGGCCTCCTGGGGCCTCCTGAAACCTACTGGGGCTTCCTGGGGTCTCCAGGAGCCTCTTGGGACCTCCTGGGACCTCCTAGGAAGGTTTCGTGCCCCAGGAGAGGCGCAATCTATAGCAACAGACGTACATAAAACATTGCGGATTAGAGCCACAGGAGAAGGGCAATCTATAGGAACACGCGTAAAACACCAAGGACTCGTGCCCCAGGAGAGGCCCAATACATAGGAACATGAGTAAAACATTTAGGATTGTGTACACAGGAGAAGGACCATCTATAGAAACATACGTAGAACATCAAAGAATCGTGCTCCAGGTGAGGCCCAATCGATAGGAGCATACGTAAAACACATGGGATTGGAGCCACTCCTGTTGCCTTCTGAGGCCTCCTGCTCCTGGGGCCTCTCGGGGCCTCCTGTTGCCTTCCGAGGCCTCCTGGCGCTTCCTGTTGCCTCCTGGGGCCTCCTGTGGTTTCCTGAGGCCTTCTGGAGCTTCCTGGGGCCTCCTGGAGCCTCTTGGGACATCCTGTGGCCTCTTGAGTCTTTCTGTGGCCTCCTGATGCCTCCTGGGACCTCATGTGGTCTCCTGGGGCCTCCTGGAGCCTGTTGGAGCCTCCTGTGGCATCCTGAGAAGAATCTGCGCCCACGAGCCTGGCCACCAAAACAAGCAAACCGATCGAGACATCCTCAAAATCTGGCCCACCTGGGGGGTGAAAATGAGCGCCTCGCTCGAGACATCCTCCAAATCTGCTCCGAAAGCGAAGGATGTTGGGCCCAGAAACAAGCAAACCGCCTGAGACATCCCCACAAAATGGCCGCGAACGAGCCCGTGCAACCACCCCTGGCGGCTCCCCTTAGGGGTGCTGAAATGAGCGCCTCGCTCGAGACATCCTCCAAATCTGCTCCGAAAGCGAAGGATGTTGGGCACAGAAACAGGCAAACCGCCTGAGACATCCCCACAAAATGGCCGCGAACGAGCCCGTGCAACCACCCCTGGCGGCTCCCCTTAGGGGTGCTGAAATGAGCGCCTCGCTCGAGACATCCTCCAAATCTGCTCCCAAGCGAAGGATGTTGGGCCCAGAAACAAGCAAACCGCCTGAGACATCCCCACAAAATGGCCGCGAACGAGCCCGTGCAACCACCCCTGGCGGCTCCCCTTAGGGGTGCTGAAATGAGCGCCTCGCTCGAGACATCCTCAAATCTGCTCCGAAAGCGAAGGATGTTGGGCCCAGAAACAAGCAAACCGCCTGAGACATCCCCACAAAATGGCCGCGAACGAGCCCGTGCAAACACCCCTGGCGGCTCCCCTTAGGGGTGCTGAAATGAGCGCCTCGCTCGAGACATCCTCCAAATCTGTGATGAGTAAGTCTGTGTATGAGTAAGTCTGTGTAGAGTATGTCTGAGTGTGAGTAAGTCTGAGTATGAGTAGGTCTGAGTATGAGTAAGTCTGAGTATGAGTAAGTCTGTGTATGAGCAAGTCTGAGTATGAGTAACTCCGACAGGAGGGGGGGAGGAAAGAGGAGGGAGGAGAAGGAGTAGGAGGCGTCCAAGTACTAACAAGAACCCCATCTTAGGATATGGGGAAAAAACCCGTCTCAATTTTTTCGAGACGCCCGAGGTGTGGGAGCTCTGGGGCCGCGGATCCGCGAAAGTCCGAGCGGCGGACGTGTGGGAGGGCACCCTGGCTTCGGAGGCCGGGCCCGGGCAGCTCCCTGGGGACGGCCACCTCCAAGTTCCCTCTCCACGGGCCCCCTCCTTCCCCTTTCCCCCCTTTCCACGACCACGTCGTCGTCTTAGGTCGGGCCTGTCCCTCTACAGGGAGGATATCCAGAAATAGTCCAAAAATAGTCTGGGGACATTTTTTTTTTTTTTTTTTGTATTTTTGGCCATCTTTTGAACATTGTTCTATTTTTTTTTATATATATATAACATATATATATATATATATATATAAAAAAAAAAAAAAAAAAAGTCGTCCAAGAACCCCCTGTAGGGGGACAGGCCCGACCTAATCGTCGTCCCCTTCCCCTTCTCTCCCCCTTCTCCCCCATCCCTCTCCTCCTCCCCTTGGAGGAGGAGTGGGAATTGGCGGAGGGAAGGAGGAGAGTGGGCAGCACATCCAGGTTCCCTCGCCACAGGCCCCTGATCGGATTCCTGTTCATTGAGGTCGGTGCTCCATCGGAAGATGATCGCTTGAAAATGCGAAAGTCTGCCAGAACGCCATCCTTTCGCCACGAAACACCGTTACTGTTGCTCCTTGACGATCCTGAGTCGTGCCAGAACACCATTCCTGGGACGTCAACACAGCGGATCAACGTGATTGTTGCGGCCTGACGTTCCCACATCGCTCCAAAGCACCATTTCTGGAACATTAACCATGAGAATCCTGAAAATTGCTGCGAACTGTTAAAATGAATGTGCGCGGCGCTACGGAGAGAGCCACATGTTGAAAAGGAACCGCCCTCCTTCCGTGTAGCTCGTGCAAAGGTGCAGGATTCATGCGCGCGGCGCTGAGGCGAGAGCAGCTTTTTTCAAAACGGGGCGCCCTCCATCCGTGCAACACTCGCAAGCGCTGAGGACGGCTGTGGCGCGAAGGCGAGGGCCACGTTTCGAGAACAGGCCGCCCTCCCTCCGTGAAGCTCTTGCTCACTATTCTTCAGGCGTCTGCGCGCGGCGCCGAGGCGCGGAGAGCCGAACTTCCGAAGCGCGGGCCGCCCTCCGGCC